ATGAAGTTCACTTATCAGATCCCTCACTGCTCCATACTCAATCACAATTATCTCTGCCGTATCATTGGTCCCGTTCTGGTTAACATTATTTTTAATCAATGATTCAGATAAAGTCATGTACGGCGCGCTCACTGATGGCACAAAATTGGGATACCTAGTGACAGAAATAGAGTGCAAAAAGATCTCCTCAAAATAGAATGGGGCAAATTTAATGACATAATAAAGTAGGAATAAGTGTAAAGTCTTGCAACTGTTTTTTTTTAAAATCAGCCCTACAAGCAGAAAACGAGGCAGACTTATGTATAGAAAAGCTCATGAAAAAAGATCTAATGAAAGCTCACTGTGTCCTTATTAGCCAAGTAAAAACAGTCTCTCCAGAATGAGGAAGGTGATGTTACTGCTATATTCTACCCTGGTCAGTTAACATCCAGAGAGAGTATCATGTCCAGTCCTGGGAGCCACATTTCAGAAGGGAAACTGACAAGCCAAAGAAGAGACAAAAAGGCAACTCAAAACCATGCTGTGCTAGGATCAGCTGAAGCAACAGAAGATGTTTAGCCTGAAAACGATGTCTTAGGGGTGGACATGATCACTGTCTTCAAATATTTAAGGGGTCAGCGTGTAGAAGAAGATAAGCCTTACTCTGCCTAGCCCCAAAGGAAAACTAGGACCAATGCGTGGAAGTTACAAAGGGAAAAGGTTTTAGCTCATTACAGGGAAAGAACTTTCTTAAAAATTGCATAGCTGTCCAAAAAGAGAATGGACTGCTTCAAGAGTTTCCCATCCTTGAGACTTATATGAATTGATGCAGAGTGAAATGAGCAGAACCAGGGGAACATTGTACATAGTAACAATATTGTAACAATGAAACTGTGAAAGACTTGGCAACTCTGATCAAGACAAGGATCTGAGACAGCTCCAAAGGACTTGTGATGAAAAATGCTGTCCACCTTCAGAGAGAGAACCGATTAACTCATGAGTGCAGACTGAAGTCTGTTGTTTTTCACTTCATTTTTCTTGCTTTTTTTTTTTTGCAACATGGCTAACATGGACATATATTTTGCATGACTTCACATGTATAATTGGTGTCACATTGCTTGCCTTTTCAGTGGGTGGGAGAGGGGCTAGAGGGAAGAAAATTTGGAATGCAAAATTTTTTTAAATGAATGTTAAAAATAAATGAGAAAAAAAAAACCTCCTCAACTAAACAAAGAGTTTGCTGTCCCCGAAGGTCTGGCAACATGTATTCATTCAACCAACCTATGTGCAAAGCCCTAAGCGAGGCAATGAAGAAAGTGCAAGGGCTCCGACACACAGCTGCTTGTGCAGCCTTGGACAGACCAGAGCACAGGGGCCAGACTCTAACACAGACAACCTCCACCAAACACTGAATGATAGATGCCACCTGATGCAGAGCAAAGTAAGCAGAATCAAAAGAGCATCTTCACACAATGACCACCAGAAACATAAAGGAAAACAATACTGGAAGGCTTCAAAAATCTGCGGGATGCCATAGCCAGCGATAGCTGCAGGGGCTTCGTAACGATGCCTGCCTCCCACCTATGGGTAGAGAGGTGGCGGACTCCAGGGGCAGAACCAGGCAGACAGTGTCCGACATTACCAATGAGATGAGCAGCTTTGTTTTGCTCAACTGCACTTGTTACAAAGGAGGCTATTATCACTGGGAACTGACAGTGACGTAAAAAAAAATTTAAAACATTTTAAAAGAGGGGAAAAAAGTACTGTATGAGATCAGACAAGGAATACGATTTCTGACGGGGAGGAGAGTGGGAAATAACAAAAGGTGTCAGGCTACAAAAGGGGGCAGGCCACCGCAGGCCCAGGGGACAGTAAAAGCAGGGTAGGTGTGGGATAGCACAACGTGCGGCTGAGGGCAGAGAGGGGCCAGCTTGACTGCATCATATGCCTGGGCTGTCAGAGGTTTGCGACAAGGATTTGTACAGGTTTAATTTGGGGATGGCAGCATGAAGAAGTACAGAAAAGTTAGCTGACATTCTAGAATAACAGCAATATACAGGCCATTGGCCAAGATCAAACACTGAAAATTAGCTGCAATGTACAAGAAGCAATCATGGTGTGGCTGGCCATCAACAGGGATTTTGTGGGGTTTTCATTATGAAGGAATGATGAAAATCCACCTGTGACGCTGAATAAAAGAACAAACACTAAAATCGGTCAACCACGCAGACTGACTTCCTGCTCCTTCTCCTGCGCTTAATACGCAGAACATCCTTTTGAACATAGCTTCTTCCTTCCTCCGTTACCTTGCACGGGCTTATTATTTACTCTGTAAAACATGGGGGGGTTGAATTAGATAATGTCTTAAGGGCCAGATACTTGTTGGGCAGCCCTTCTATTCTGTATACCACTGACCCCAAGTCCCATTTAGGCTTCCTGCCTTAAGGCTCTCTCCTCTTCTGTCCTCCTATACAAAATAATCTTAAAGTAAGGGTCTGATCTCATTATTCCTCTGCTCAATAGCCCCCAGTGGCTCCCCATTCCCCATCAAAGGAATTACAAACCCTTTAAACTGACATTCGAGGCCCTCCACAATCTCAATCCAACCTATCTTTCTAATCTTATTCCATAATACTTCTTTGTATGCATCCTAGTCTCCAGCCAGACTAGAAACCTACATGGCCATGCCCTCTCGACCTCGGTGTTTACAAGAGTCACCTGAATTACATCCTCACTCCTTGAATACCTCATTCCATTTTTACCTTCTCATGTATTTAATCACGATCTAACTTTTATTATCATTAGTTGTGTGAGTGCCTCATACCCCTCCTAGACTGTAAGCTCCTTGGGGCCAGAGACTGTTATTTTTCTTCTCTATATAGTCAGCTCATAGCACATGGTAGGCTCTTAATAAAAGCCTTCTGAAAAATGAATTTAGGCAAGCTTTTGAAAATACATACTTAAAATGACACAATCACAAATTTTAAGACTTTCATCTCAAAACCAGGATCAGAATCTAAACTTAAACAGAATCTTAACTTTTATTCTCAAGTGAACAAAGATTTACTGAATCCCTTCCTACGTGTGTCCAGCAACTAGAGGAACTATCTATAATTATTGGCTTAGGGAACTCCCTCCACAATTCCTTAGGTGCAACAGGTGACTGTGGGGTAGCGTGAGTTCTAGGGAGTTGTACGAGCACACACAAGGCAAGTGATTTGTCCAGGGTCACCTCTACGTAGGAAATGTAAGAAGAAGGATTTAAACACTGGTCTTTCTGCCTCCAAGCCTTAGTACAATGCCTGACACTTAATAAATACCTTTTTATCCATCCATCCATTCATTCCCTATGCCATGCTCTATTTCTAGTGAAGAACACAGAATTTATTATAAGTTATTCCTTCTCTGTAGGAATTTACAAACTAATTAGGAAGACATACAAAGGAAAGAGTTAGAAAACAGTTTGAGTCTATAAATGCTGATGAATTTTGTAATACAGACAAGGTGTTGCAGGAGTTCAGAAAAGGTACAAGTAATTTGGGTCTGGATGGTCATTGAAATCTTAATGGAGAAATGGCCATATTGAGCTTCTCAAAGACGGTGAAGATTTGAATTGGCTGAGAATCTAAATGATACAGTGCATGGAGAGTAGGCCTAGGAACCAGGACCTCTGATACTGGTTGTATATCCTAGACTGGAGTCTAGAATGTGTGCAAAGTATTATGGAATAAGATTAGAAAGATAGGTTGGGCTGATACTGGGTAAGACACTTAATTGCTGAGTGGTCCAGACTCACTCTAAGGCTTTAAGATGCAGAACAATTGCTGATCTCCATTGGTAGAAAGTGTTTCTCACACCAATGAAATCATCATCCCTACCCCTACTCCCCTACCTTACTCTCTCCCCTTCTCCCACCCCCCCAAAAAAGGAAGAAAAGAGCATGAAGAAGGGGAGAAAGGCAGATGCAAAGGCAAAGAAATGAGAATAAGCATAAGAGGGACGTATTTTCTTAGCAGCCTGACTGGAGCACAGGATTTATGTTTAGAAGTCATACTCAAAGTAAGGTTAGACGGCATTATGGTATCTCAGTATAAGTACTGAAACCTTGCTCTTTTCTTGTCAATCACACAATCTATGACTAGCAAGACTTGTGAAGTTGCTTAGGATTAACAGAGCAAATCCTTTCACCTAATTCCTCTCTCCCTATCCTGTACCCAAAGCCCTTGGGCAACCATACCCCTCTGGTACAGTCAAAGCAAAATTTCACACAATCACAAGGATAGAATGAGCATCGTAGACACCACCACCCTTTGACACATTTCCCAACCACAGAGACAAGTCAGCAGGACTGATACAGCACCAGCTGTCTGTGACTGGTTCACCAGGCTAGCTCTTTCCTTCCTTCCTACCCTATTATATCTGTGATTAGTCTTCGAGCATCACCGCAGCTCTCCTCCCAATCAATTACACAAGTCCCAACCCGTCGAAAAGCTCCAGTTCTACTCCTACCTGGAACCTCACAAACTCGTTTGCCCTACTCACTCCTTCAGCACAAGCCCAGCCAGCCCGAATCCTGGCGTTAAAGTCTTCACAACACCAGAACCGTGCAAGCACCTGGAGTGCAAAAGCTAATGAACCTCACTGCGTAGACTCAAAGTTTGGCAGATTCCCCCAGCCCACATGCCACTCCTCCACCTGCTCCGTGTCTAACCTAATCCGGAGTTAATGGTTCGATCACCTGAAGTCAGCAGAAACCGTGTTCAGCCTGAGATAACTGGAACCAGGGAGACGTGAACTATACCCTGCCCGGGTGACTCCAGGGTCAGTCCCTTTGGCCTGCCAGACCAGGGAGCGCAGGCCCTGTGGGCACCTTTGGGTGTGGTGCTACCTGGGGCACGCCGAGGGATGCTGCCGGGGAGGGACCCCGCGGACCACCTCCGGGTAGGGGCGCCGGGTCTAGGCTCGGAGGACCCGGGCTTCTCGTCCCAGCTCTGCCACTCACTACGCCGGGTGACCTTGGGCTAAGCCGCGTCCCCTCTCGCGGCCTCAGTTTCCTCCTCCGTAGAATGAGGGGGCTGGGTGAGGTCAGGGGCTCTTGCCCTCTTCTGGGCCCTGGACCCCTGGGGGGGGTGTCAGTGTGGTCTGAAGCCCAGGGACCCCTAAGGATGGGAAGGCTCAATTTCAGTTGGGGGACTCGGGAGAATAAAGAGGTTTGGGGCACCCAAGTCCCTGGCCGCCAACCTCGGAGGCTCTCAAAGCGGGGCGCCGGCCAGCCCTGGCGCGGGGCTCCTAAGGGCGCGGCGGGGGACTCCGGTTCGCCCGCGCGGAATGGCCCGAGGGCTGGGGCGCCTGCGGAGGGAAAGTCCTCCGGAACGGGGATCCCAATGGGGAGGGGGAGGGGGCCGGGGCGGGGCCCGTCAGTCAATCAGCTCCCAGTGCTTACCGTGCTCCCGGCCCGGCCGTGCTCCGGTCCCACCGCCTGCCTCCCGGCCCGTGCCTTCCCTCCGAGTCTCTCCAGGCCCGCCCGGCCCGGCCCTGGCCACGCCCCGCCCCGGCTCCGCCCCGCCCCCCGACCCGGCGCCGACGGCGGCGCCAGCGCCCTCACCGTCCGCGGGCGCGCGCGCGCAGACCCCGCCCCTTGCGCAGGCCGACGTGATTACGTCACGCATCACCTGACATTGCGTCACGAGTCCTTGGACCGGGCCCGGCCAAGGAGAGCCTTTCCTTTGCTTCTTCCTCCCCCTCAGAGGGCGGACACGAGGCTCTGATTGGACGAAGACTTCAGAGAGCGGAGCTAAAGGCGTGAGGATAAATATAAGACTGACGTGAAGGGGCGGAGCTGGGAAACATACCTGGGAAGAGGGCTCGGGGTAAAGGGGGCGGGGCAGGAATGCTAACCTGGGAGAGGGGCGGAGCTGGAACGCAGAGCCACGCAGAGGGCGGGGTAGAACGGAAGAGTGGGCGAGGGGGCGGGGATAAGACGTAGAGAGTGGGCGAGGGGGCGGGATAGGACGCGGAGACTGGGAATCCGACTGAGCTGAAAATAGAATCCAGAAAGAGGAGGCGGGGCTCAAACCTGGGAAGGGGCGGGGCTGGCACGAAAATTTAGGAAAGGGGTAGGGCTTGAACACATACCTGGGGAAGGGACTGAAAAAACAAACTTGGAAGAAAGGGGCGGGGCTCGAAAACCGATCAGGAAAGGGGTGTGTCTGGACCGCACACCTGGGACAGGGGAGAGGCAAATACAGGACCCTGAGGGGGAAGTCCAGCGTTGACCAGGGGACCAGCGGGTCCTCCCTCTCTAGTATGCGGGTGACGGTCCCCGAGCTTTCCTTTGTAGCGGCCTCCCTCCTTTGCTTCCCTGACTACAGGGCTCAGCCGGTTGGGCCGGGTAGACAGCTCCCTGGCTGAGTCCCGAGGGGCTGATGGACAGCTGATGATGGGGAAGGAATCCCCGACCCAGAGGAGCTGGGGAGGGTGGAGGTGACTCGTGGGCCTCTGCATCAGATAAGCAATGAGTCATCAGTAAGGGAAGGTCCGCCCTGGCCTTCAAGTATGCTGTAATGGAAAGAGCCTGACCACTTTCTTAACTTGGAAGTCCATGGACTGGAATTTTTTTAAAAGTCTGATCCCTTCATTTTCATATGATCTTAAGTATCAATCTTAAGCATTTTATTTTATGCATTTAAAAACATTATTCTGATAAAGAAAGGGTCCTTGGACTTCCCTTGATTGTCTGAGGGGTCCAGGACACACAAAAAAGGCTAAGAACCCCTGTTCTGGAGCTTCTCATCTCTATCCTCCCATGTTTCCTTCAATAAAGATTGTGCAAAGCCATCCAACTGTGATCAGGATGCTCATGTTTCAGACACCGGGAATCCTTTGAACCCAGAAGCCAAGGCTAAGACATCTTGGTTGCTTGCACCATAAAGGAATACTCAGGCAGGGCCCAGGCATGACACTGCAGAGCCTCAGCCAAGGAGCCATTGGCTCTCTGATTTTTCACGTATGGGGAGGTTGCTTTGTGAAAATCTCCCTAAAGAGCCATCTTACTCAATGAAGCTGGTGCTTTTCAAGCCCGAGTTATTAAAACAAAACGGAAACCTTCATTCGGGACCCCACCACTGGGACACTGATCTGAGGATATGGAAAGAAGCCCAGTCTGTAGAGCCCTTTGGGATAATTCAGGTAATTCCTGGTTTTGGTGGCAAAGAGCATTAGGAAGACTAATCGGAAGCAGTTAATGAAGTTAGCACAGATATTTGAGGCTCTTGGTCCAAAAGCAAGGAAGGCAGGCTTCTTATGAAAGTGATCAGGAGCGCTGAGGGTTTACGAGTTATTCCTGGGGCTCTGGGCTCCAGATTAACCCATGTGCTTAGCTCCAGAAGTCTTCTTATGAGGCCACAGGCCAGGCAGGAAGGTGACCAGTTCTGCTTGGTAAAGACAATATTCACCTTTTCCTTACCTGAGTGTTGGCAGTCACAATGGTATCCCAATGGAATGGGCCTTTCTTGGCCTTGGAGTCTTCATCTGTAAAATGATGAGGTCCAGCCAGATGAGCACTGTGGTTCCTTCTATCTCTGAATCGCATGGTTCTGTGAAGTTGGGGGTAGGGGAGAGAAGGCAACCAGCCCAAAGAAGACAAGCCACACACCGCCTCCATCCCAATACTTCATTTTAATGCCATGGTACAGCACGACGGCTGGTACAGTCATACTGTCACAGACATTGGAATGAAAAAAGCCAATGACACAGGACCTGTTACACAGTGACACAGAGCCCCAGATCTTGGAGGAAGAAGACGCGTAAGCCCAGGTCAGCACCTGCACTCCACCTGGGGTCTCCTGCCCTTCTTCCCTTACCCATGCACATTTTTCCAGAATTTCAGAAATGTCTTACCCCCTTCAGACTCCTTCCACCAAGATCAGGGAGGCAGAGTGGAAAGAGCCCTGGCTCTGGAGTCAGAGAACCTGAGTTCAAATCCTATTTCAAATGCTTATTATCCATGTGACTTTGGGCAAGTCACATGTCCTCTTGGGGCCTCAGTTTCTTCATCTGTAAAATGAGGGGATTGGACTAGCTAGCATCTGAGGGCCCTCTGGCTCTAGAGTTAGGTACGGCTGTAGGAGTCGTACAGAGATCTCTCTTTGGTGAGAACTCTGGTAAATGGGGCCATGAAAAACAGTTTTATTAAGGATTAAGTCTGGATAGAAGGGGTATGTGTGTGTGTGTGTGTGTGTGTGTGTGTGTGTGTGTGTAAAGAGAGGCTCTTTCTGGAAACAGAGTACTTACAGGATGGGAAGATATTTTTAACTCTTTCAAGATGGGGTCAGCCCTGTGTACCCTGAGCCCAAGGTTGCATAAGGAATGACACATGCCCAGGGACCTTGACACTTTCTATAGCACCACCACCACCACCACCACCACACCACATCACCAGGGCCTCAGGCAGAGCAACCAACCAGCCAGGAAGACAAAAGAATCACCTGACCCAACCTGAGAAGCATTCCTCAGAAAGCCCCCAGCAGATTGTAGGCCAAAGGAAGAAGTGAAACTGGCTGCCATCTGCATGGTTGGCCAACGAGCCAACCCAGTTCACCCATCTGGATGAACTGTGTGGGCAGGGGATGGCCACGTGTCTCTTTCCAGGTCAGCTAATGACAATCTCATCTGAGGAGGGATCCAGCCAACAACCCAGCCCCCAAATCCTATGTTCTTGACTTGCCATGCCAGTGACCCGTGGGGAGCCAGCCGCGTCGGGGCTCCTGCTCTAGCCAGCCACTTGTCTCCTGACGTAGCCTAACCTTTGAATTCTCCTATTCTTCAATAACCCATGGTACAGTAGGAAGAGCAACGGGTTTGGAGATGGAGGACCTGTGCGCAGATCACACCTTGGTCATTTTGTGATTTGGACAAGTCCAAATCTCAAAGCCGCAGTTTCCTCATTTGCAGAATGAGGGGACTAGACTAGGCTAGACTAGAAGGTCTCTATAAGGCCTCTTCCCCCTCAAAATTTTTGATCCACAAACCAGTCCAATGAGTCTTTTCTCTTGGTCTGTCCCTGAAGAGAACACATTTAGTTTTATTTTTAAAGGTGGGGGGCAGTGGGTTCCATGAAGTTGCAAGAATTCAGATAAACTACATTGTTAGCATTTGGGGAGGAGGTGTTTCTAAGGCTCTCTTGGCTTAGATGACTGAAGTTACAGAGGAGCTGGGGGATAGAAAAGGTCCTAGCCCCACCAATAATTAGAGGAGCTCTCTGGGGGTCAGAATAATTTCCCCAGAGAAGGAGCTTCATTCCCATCAGCCCTTGGGCTGCTAACCAGCAACCACCTTTCTTTCCCTCCTCCCCTTCAAGTGTGATGGCTACAGACTACAGAATGTTTTACCTGCCTTCCAGCTCAGCTTCAGGTCCTAGACAGAGGGCAGGCCAAGCTTGGCCTGCTACAAGGGTCTGTTGCTAGCTCTAGAAAAAGTTCCCTAAACGCGGCCAGGGGTGACCCTTCCTGGCAGCCCTAGTCTCCCCAGAAGGACACACAGCAAAACACAGTCATTGAAAGAACGGCACGGCAGAGTTAACAGAGAGTGACCTTCCAGAGAGATGGGGGACACTGTCCTCACCCAGCATCCAGGTTAACCCTCAAGAAGGGCTGCAGGGGTTTTTGAAAACCAGTCACTCTGGGTCTCACCCATGTGGATTCTAAATAAACACACTGCGATGCTCTGTGGCGGGAGCAGGAGGGGACAAGGGGAGAGAGGCCAATGTGGGTTACTGCCAGCAATGGTGTTAGTAATCTATGCTCTACTCACACTGACATCCTCCTCAAAAGCTTGGCTCAGTGTCTGTCAAAAAACGAACACAGATTAGGCAGTAACACCGCTCAGAGAAGTAAAAAAAAAGACTTTTCTGCTAAGCTCAATGCAACTGGACACATGGTTAGCAACACCCAGCACCATGCAGGAACATGAACCCCAAAACAAACATTTCCACTGCCTTTTAGATGAAAAAGGGCATCTGAAAATGCAGAAGAGCAACTGTCCTGCCAACTTAGATCGAAAGCCTCTTTCTGGTCCTCCACTCCCTTGCCTTCCACCTCTTCTTGCCCAATGCTGGTATTCATTCATTCATTCAGCATTTATTATGCCTCTCCTATGTGGCAGGCACTCTGCTAGGTGCTGCATCCTGTCACTCATTGCCTCAGGGACACTCCTCCTATGGGGGAGACAGCTTTGCACATCAAGGACATTGAACACAGATTCAGTGGAGGGCTCTGGCTGGGCTTCCTGGGTTCAGACTGTGTCATACTATCAGGATTCTGGTAGCATCTTTAGATGCTTTAGATGGGCAACCAATCCTTATATGCATGGGGCCAACAGGGCTGGGCCAACCAGAGCTGACCACGTAAGATACCCTTTATAGTACATGGATATTGGTTTGAGTACAGATGTGAGTGCAGGAGTGGGACTGTCTCCAAGCAGCCCTGACATGTCCTACTGTGGAATGAGGGAGTGGTGGAGATGCTGGTTGGGGGATCACTGAGTGCCACCACTTGGCTGTCCAAGCCTCCAAGAAGGGCATGTCCATAACCCAAACAGCTTCCTTAGAGAGAAGGGATCAGCCCAGAGATGTTCTGTATCTTTTAAAATCTTCAAAATATAGATACCCAAGTATTCTTGGGAATTATTGCTGTCTTACCTACGAGCCCTTGGGGAGACATTCAGTCCCTCCTTTTATCCTTCAGAACCAGGACCTCCCTGAGGGAGAGACTTAAGCAGGTTATCCTAGCAAGGTCTCATGGTGGTGGTCTCTAGGGTGGCTTTGTTCTACAACTATGAGCTGCTCACTTAACACAGCAGCCAGGAACGTGGGGAAAGATGCTGTGACTCAGCATGGATGGAGGCTCCATGTTTATCCCTGCCTCCCATCAGCCTCTGCTGTTTGCATCTCAGCTCCATGGGAAATAGCCCTGTGCAGGGGTTGGGGGAATGGTGAGGAAGGGGCTGGGGAGGGGGAGAGCAGGAGCCAATGCCCAAATCAGGGCTGTAAACACTGGTTTTTCTAAGGCGAACTGGGCACAGACCCCGAAGGGGATGAGAAAGGTGCTTGGTGAGGAAGAAGGGTCTCTCTGGGTCCCAAGAGGAGAAACTGATCAGAGATATTTGGTGGAGGTAACTTGATAAAAGCAGACCCCTCTTCATCAGCAGCATGGGAAGTTTAGGGAGCTCATTCCAGCATATCTCCCATATTCCGTTCCCTTTTTCCCGGCTGGGCCCTGGGCACATAGGGTTTTATAAGGAATGAAACCAGAGCAGGGCTAGGGAGGTTGGGGGGGCGAGGAAAGGGACTAATGCCCACCAGAGTATGAAACATGGCTCAAGACCCAGCCCTCAAGGTCAGGGACACAGTCAGATAGCTCTGGGTCTCACAGGTGGGCTCCAGTTAGATCCCCTGAGCCACAGGCAAGAAGGTACTGCTCCCAGAAGAGCCCGATGGGGCCGCTGTTCCAGCTGGCTAATGCCCTGGGCCTGGCCCCAGGTGCATCCCTGGAGCTGGGCAGCTATGCCACGGGGCCCCTTGGGTTGGGCTGCTCAGGACTCAGTCCCCATCACAGCACATCCCTGGGACAGGTGGTCAGCAGCCTCCAGGGGATGTCAAGCAGAGCCGACAGCGCCCCCTCCCACTGGGGCTTCTTGCCGGGGCTACTCACCACCACGTGATCTTGAACTCATAGATGGGCCTCTTGCAGTAATAGTGGTTGACCAGGTGCTTGTCGCAAACCCCGATACACTGGTGATCCACCGTGAGGCCCTGGGCAGAGAGGTCCGTGACCAGGCAGTGCAACAGGTCATAGACATCAGCCACAGCCTCCCATGGCCCGAAGGACACGTCCACTTCGCAGTGATGCTCGAAGAAGGGGCTGTCACTCTCGCTGCGCTCAAAGCGTAAAGAGTTGAAGAGGGGACACTCATAGGGCGTGATGGGCATCTCTTCCTTGAAGACACAGACCTTCAGCTTGGCAAAGCGGGCCTTGCGCTGGACAGCCCGCAGCTGCGCAATCTCCACAATCCGCTCCAAGTGGTCTTGGGGGGACAGAAAACAGCAGCTGTCACAGGGAGGGGGAACAGAGGAGGAGGAAGGGCAGGACCCAGAGGGAAAAGACTGCCCTTGACAGGCCTAAAATAACTCAGGGACAATCTGTGCATTACAGAAGCATGAATCTAGAGCCAGAAGGGACCTTAGAGGCTACTGAGTGCAGCCCCTTGACTTTACAGAAGAAGAAACTGAGGCTGAGACTTGCTCAGGGTCACATTGCTAGTAGGTATCTGAGATAGGATTTGAACCCAGGTCTTCCTGACACCGTGATGCTTCCTGGAGGATAGAAATCAGTAATATTCCTATTTCTAAAAAGGAATAGGCCTCTATTTGTGTATTTCAATTGGGAAATACAATCTATATATTTCAATAGAGATTTCAGTTTGAAATAAAAGGAAGGGGAAAATAACATTTTTTATTTTATCAGTTTGAATGGAAAATTATTTATCAATTTAAAAGAAAAGGAAGGGAAAATAAGGGGAAAAAATAAATGGTGGGGAGGGGTGTGGTGAAGTGGAAAAGGATGAAATTTCCAAATGAATCAAAGTGGCTGAACTCCCTTTCTTGGGAAATCTGGTTAAAAAATGGCCAGAATTTTCATCTATCTAGGACAGTAAAGTCACAAAGGTACAGTAGAGGCAGGGAAGTGGGATGGCAATCCTCCATGCCTTTCTTTGGCTATTTCTCATAATGTTAAACATAATGAGCTGGCCCTGGGGTCAAGGAGACCTGGTTCTCTGATACCTACTAACTGTGGGTGAGTCACTTACCTTCTAAGTGAAAAACAAAGCAGAAAAACAGAAATTGAGGGAAGCATTAAGTGAAAAAAACCAACATCTGTAAAACAGGTGGGCTGAGGGATGGTGCAATTTACTAAAGTTTTTTGTATCCTTGACCCTGACCTCTTGGGCAGTCTGAGAAAACCTGTAGCCCTTATGTTTTAACTTTTTTTTTTTTTGGTGAGGCAGTCGGGGTTAAGTGACTTGGCCAGGGTCACATAGCTTAAGTGTCAAGTGTCTGAGGCCGAATTTGAACTCAGGTCCTCCTGACTCCAAGGCCAGAGCTCTATCCATTGTGCCACCTAACTACCTCTTTTTTGCCTTTTTTTTTTAGCCCTTATGTTTTTAAATGAAGAAAACAAAAGACATAGGACTAAAAAAGAAAACAACTATATTTGCATAAAGATGTTGTTTTTCCCCTATCAAAAATCAGAAGCCCCACAACCACCCCTGAAATCTACCCACAAACCCTTAGGGCACACTCAAATAATAACAGACATTTACACGACGCTTTCAGGATCCTAAGGAAGACTGCTTGAAACAGCCCTGTGAGGTAGCAAGGACTAGGATCTCCATTTCCAGATGGGACAACTGAGACGGAGAGCATTTCAGTGACTTGCCCACGGTCACACAGCAAGTGAGACTCCACACGGCTTGGCCCCGCCCTCCTCACCTTTGTAATAGGGCATGAGCCCCAGGAACGCCTGGCGCACCTTCTCCCCTTTCAGGGGTTGCACGTCCTCCAGCTGCTCCAGCAGGGGCCCGATGGCATAATACTGGGCCTCCTTGTACACAGCCCGAACGCGGTCCCGTGGGGGCAGGTCGCCAGAGCGGAGGAAGTTAAGCACATCTCTAAGGGAGAAGAAAGCAGAAGAGAAATTAAGGGCAGGGCTGCACGGGGAGAGGTGGGGATGTGGGAGGGCAGGGAAGGGAAGAAGGGAGGGGTGCAGGAAGGCAGAGAAGGCTGTATGACCCTGGGTAAGTCTCATAACCTCTCTGGGCCTTAGTTCCTTCATCTGTAAAATGAGGAGGTTGGGGACATGATGTCCAACAAGGGCCCCTCCAGCTCTGCCTATGATCCTCTGTCCATCCACTCCACACACCCCCGACTCCTCTCCTCTCTCCCTTTCCCAGAACACACTCCCACTTCACCTCTGCCTCAGAGAACCCCTGTCTTTCTTCAAGATATAGCTAAAGCACCATCGTCTACATAAAACCCTCTCCTTATCCACCCACCCGCCTTCCCCACTCCACCTTGTATTTTATTCAGTATATGCCGATAGTCGTCCACCCCATTAATGTAATCTCCTGGAAGGGAAGGACTAACTGTCTCATTTTCATCTTGGTAACCTGGCATACATAAGGCACTTACTAAATGCTTGTTGTTAGACTGGTTGATTCTCCTGACTCAACATAGCCACTCTTTCAGCCAGTCTTCCTAAGGCGCAACATCTCAAGGCCCTTTGCCACCCCTGACACCCTCCACCTTTTTCATGTCCACAACTGAGGAACCTACGCTACCTGGGGATGGGAGGAAAACCCACCATCTATCTCCCCTGGGTCTGTGTTCCGAGCTGGAGCAACATCCCGGGCCTCAGACCCTTCTTATTCTTCCCAGGCCTTTGCCAAGCTGTGGCAGCAGGAGGTTAGAGCCAGACAGGGCTGCCACGTTTAGCCCTGGCTCCCATCACTCTTTGGCAGCGTCCTCAAGGACAGGACAGGACAGGAAAGGACAGGACACAAGCCAGAGTCCAGCAGCCCTCTCAGGAAAAAAAAAAACCAACCAAATCTCAATGCCTCTCTAGCACCACGGAGCCCTTCCTTTGCTCAGCCCAGTCCAAGGTCCAAGGTCTTCATGGGACGCCAGCTGAGGCCAAGCACTTTCCTCCCCCAGAGAGCCCACAAACAAATCTTTTTATAGTTCCAACGAGTGATGTGACACGTTGTTTTCTCAGAGCCAGAGGCAGCTGACAGCCCACCGGGGACACTAAGATGCTACAAAGCAAATGAATTGGCCACATGTCCCCTCTGTGAAGGTGGAAATTGGCCCCTTGTCTGTCCTGGGCATGAGGAAGTCTTGCTTGCAGGTGGAGGGGGAGGAGAACCTGCAACTGATGACTAGCTGAGTTTCCAATGACAGGAATTCAGGAGTGGCTTGATTTTGTCATACCACCGGAGTGGGAAGGCATTCCAGCCCTCTTCCTACCTCCAAAACCAGGACAGAGGAGCCCTTCTTATACTCTCCTTTACCCTGCTATGGTCCTGGACAAAGAAATTAGTCCAGAGACAGGGGATCGCTGTTAATAGCGTCACAAATATTTCAGATCTAGTTCAAAAAGCTTGGAAGTCTGGGGTTTTTTCCTAAAGAAGGGAGGACATAAGGTAAGATCACATCTAGTCAATTCCACACAGATGAGCACTTCTGATTTTTTAAAAGTCTCTGGAGGAAAATCAGCTCTATCACTCAAGCGTACAGTTTTCAAAAGTACCTCCCTCTCCTCTTTGCAGAGGTGGGAGGCTTGGGGTGTGGCCTTTTGTATACACACCCACATATGACCAATGTATCAGTTGATTTTACTAAACTACTTTTCCCCCTTTCTTTTTTAATTTTTGTCACAGGGTTGGATCATTGAGTAGGCATGGGGAGAAGAAATATATTCAAAAATGAAAGTGATACAAGCACAAAAGATATCAACAAATACATAAGATTTTTGTAAAGGCGTCCAGAATTCTTCTTACATGAACACACTGGGAGCTGATGTTGCTTCAGCTTGAGACATGCCCAGTGTAGTTAGACTTAGGGCTAGAAAGGAACTCTGAGGTCATCTGGTCCAACCCCCTCATTTTACAGATGAAGAAACTGAGGCCCAGAAAGGATAAGTGACTTGCTGAGAGTCCCAAAGGCAGGTCTGGGGTCCAGGTCTTCCTAAGTCCACAGCCAGCCTTGCTGCATCCTGACATTTTTCTACTTAGTGGAGCATTTACCGGGTACCTACAAGACACCTCATACTGTGCTAAAGTACTATAAGAGATCTAGGTTCTGTGTCCCTAAGACACTGAGAGCATCAGGAAGCGTCTCCTTGCGTCTAACCAAATACGCCCTGGTGGAACAACCCCCGAGAAGCAGCAGACGACACCTACCCAAAGTGAGTCCCATCACGGTCAATGAAATACCGTCCATCAGCATCGGTGGGGATGTAGTGGCGCCCGCTGAACATGGCTGCCAGCATGGTATCCTCATAGCGCCGTAATGTTGACAGGCGTGTGGTGAAGTACATACCTCCGATGTTGAGCGGGACAACCTCAGGGAACTGGAAGAACAATCACTGGGGTGAAATAGACAGGAAAGCAGGAACCTGGACATCTTAGAGGAATCACAGCATGATCTGAGTGAGGTGTCTGACCTCACTGTGTTTCCTTTTTTTCCATTCCCTTCCCCACTTAACCTATCCTACCCAAATGGGGTGAAGAGTTAGACGTGGCCGAAATGACTAAACAAGCTGTAAAATGAAGAGGGGCAGCTAGGTGGTGCAGTGGGCAGAGCACCAGCCCTACAGAGGGGAAGAGGAAGAGCTGAGTTCAAATGTGACCTCAGACACTTACTAGCTGTGTGATCCTGATCAAATCACTTCACCCTGTTTGCCTCAGTTTCCTCATCTATAAAACAAGCTGGAGAGGAAATGGCAAACCACTCCAGTGTCTTTGCCAAGAAAACCCCAAGTGGGGTCACGGAGAGTCAGATGGGACTAAAAATGACTGAACAACAACAACGACAAAATGAGGAGAGGGAACTGCTGGGCAAATCTACCCGCGGCAGGTGAATGAAGACACAGAAGCCCTGAATGTGCCATACTATGTGTCATCACCCCTCAAATTTTCTGGATGTGTTTCACTTGGTTGGGGTGCTACTAAAGTAAATGTGAAAAAAGTGGGGCTGCTTCCCTAGGAGAGGAACTGACTCATAGGCCCTAAAGGCCTTGAGGAACCTTAGTGACGTCTAGTCATGGGGACCAGAGGATCTCAGTCTAGAGCTGGAAAGGACCTTAGATGTCTCTTAGTCCAACCCTTCCATGTGACAGAACAGGAAACTTGTCCAAGATACTCAGGAGAATGTAAGCTCCTTGAGGGCAAGGATTGTCACACATGGGTATTTGTATCCTTAGCTCCTAACACAGCACCCAACACCTAGTAGGTGCTTAATACATGTCCACCTAGTGGTAGCGCTATTCCAAGCAACATCCCTTCTTTTTTTCTTTTCTTTTTTTTAATTTTGGGGGCCATATATGATTTCATCAGTGAGGGCACTTTCTCCATCAAGGCAGATCACCACCTACTCTGCCAGCTCTGGTGATACTTAGACTGTTGACTGAGAGGGTTCAAGGGTTAACTATCTTGCCCAAGGTCACATGGCTTGTGTCAGAGGTGGGTCTTCCTGACTCCAGGGCTGGTACTGTCTCCACGATGCCAAGTTGCCTCTCATCCCTTTAATGTCTCCAATGAAGAATCATTTTTCTATCAATGCCTCATTAGGACCCAGAGGCGAACCTGGGCTCTCAAAGGCCAGGCTAGCTGCAGGGCATAAGCCATGGCAGGTGCTCCCAGACTTTGAAAGCTTTAAGCATCGGCCAGGGACCAGAGTATGTGTCTGTCCTCTTAGGAATGACCCGGCTTAGCTCAGAGGAGCCCATCACTAGGTTGGCTACATTTTTTCCTGCTGTGGGAATTCTAGAAGACCATCCTTTAAATCACAGAGGAGTCAAGATCTGTGATGGAGCTAGGATTGCATGGGGTGGAGGGGGGAGTACCACATGAATGACCTCTTAGATCTTTAGACAACATAATAATGTTCAACATGTGCTGGGTTCAAAGTATCCCAGATCTAGAACTGGAAGGAGCCTTTGAGGTCATTTAGTCCAACCCCCACATTTGACAGAGGGGGAAACCAAGGCAGGATTTTAACCCAGGTCCTCTGACTCCAGAGCCAGGGCTCTTTCCTCTGTCCTACACCACCTCCCCATTTTCTGTCTTTCTACTTTCAATCAATAAACATTAAGCGCCCCATATGAGGCGGCAGCTGGGTAGTTCAGTAGATAGCGCACTGGGACTGAAGTCAGGACGGCCTGAGTTCAAATCCAGTTTCAGATACTTACCAGCTATGTGACCTTGGGCAAGTCCCCTGTTTGCCTCAGTTTCCTCATCTGTAAAAGGGGATAACAATAGCATCTACTTCCCAGGGTTGTTATGAAGATGAAATAATACACACAAAAGTGCTTAGCACCATGCCTGGCATACATTAGGCATTACATAAATTTTGCTGTAGTTGTTATTATTATGTGCTAGGCACTGTCACACACATAACCATGGATTTGGCATCCTCCTCTTCCTCTACTTTTTTTTTCCAGGCAATTGGGGTTAAGTGACTTGCCCAGGGTCACACAGCTAGTACGTGTCAAGTGTTCCTCTACTTTTTTATACCTAGAGAAAGGCAATGGGTATAGTCTCTAGAGAAGGGTCTCTGAGCCAAGGAAGACTGTCCATTTCACAGCCTGCCTTCTTTCAAGTCCCAGCTAAGCTCTCTCCTTCCCTAAGTCCCCCCTAGCATTAGTGCCTTCCCTCTGATGTTGCCATCTCATCCTGTCTCCTGCTTGTACGTAGTTCTGTGTAGGCTGTCTTCCCCATTAGACCCTGGGCTGCTCTTTGAGGAAGGGACCATTTTTTGTCTTTCTATGGATCCCCGTGCCTGGTGCATAGTACATCCTTGACAAATGCTTGCTGACTTAACACATACTGGCTGTGTGACCCTGGGCAAGTCATTTCCCCTCTTAGGGCTCTAAACTAGAAGTGTCAAACAGCTCACTGAAATAACACTCTCCCTTGCAGCCCAAATCAGATTAGGAAGTAATTGGAAAAATATTTAACAAAATAAAATTTAAAAATATATTAATAAATAAAATATATTAACACACACAGTACACAGACAGAATGCCAGGCCTGGAGTCAGGAAGACTCCTCTTCCTGAGTTCCAATCTGACCTCAGACATTTACTAGCTGTGTGACCCTGGACAAGTCACTTTACCCTGTTTGCTCAGTTTCCCCATCTGTAAAAGAGCTGGAGAAGGAAATGGCAAATCACTCCAGTGTCTTTGCCAAGACACCCCCAAATGAGGCCACAGAGAGTTAGACACAACTGAAAAATGACTGAACAACAAAGTTCATATTAATATGTAAGCTTATATGAACTAATTAATGTGTGAGTTTACATTAATAGTTAAAATACATTTTCATAAATAATGTTAATACGTGGTTTACTAAGTCAGTATGAGGATTGCATTTGAAGGATCTGTATGTATTGGTTAGTGGCTCCCATTTCTATTGGAGCTTGACACCTCTGCCATAGGCAGTTCTAAGGTTGGAGGGTGCTGACCTGCATTGGTGGGGGGGTTTCCACATTTGGAAGTTCCCTATACTAATGACTCCAGTCTTTTTCTCAATATGCTTTACAGGTGAAGAAACTGAGGCACAGAGTTGAAGTGTGAGCTTGAAGGAAACTCAGAGATGAGTTCCAAGTCAGGTAACTTACCAGTGAGAAACAAGTATTCTGACTAAGTGCATGACACTTCATAGCCCTGGGCTCAGGGGAAGGTCTCCAGGGAGCCCATCTTACAATTCTCCTTTGGTCTCACCAAGAATAAACACCACCTGAGGTTTTCACTAGCTCCTTTCTTCCAACAACTCAAGGGACTTAGCACCTGCCCTTTTGCTTAGACCCAAAGTCCCAAACTTCCAGTGACAAATCATTTTCCCCAGTGTTAAGAGCTGGGGGGCCTGTAGAAAACAGACACAGAGTGTATTTATCCAAGGTCATTCAGGCAGGTCACTGACTAAACAGGAAAAAGAACCCAAGTGTCTTGCGCCCCGGTCTAGAGGACACAAACTATGTGCCTTCATAGCCCCTCCCCACCTTGGACTCCCTGGGTGCCACATCCTTTCTCATAGGTCACATGGTAGACCAGTGGCTGTCCCCAGTACTTCAGCCTCAAGGGCCACCCCAGGAGCTGCCCCCACTGCCTTTTCCCAGGCTTCTCAGTTCATCTCAGGTAGAGACAGTGAAAAGATGGAGTCGCCCATTCATGAACAACACATAAGAAGCCCCATTACATCAGAGGACAGCAGCTGGGGTGGGGGGTGGGGGGTGCAGAATAGGGGAGGGAGGCAGCCACAGCTTGGTCTTGTGGATTGAGAGACACACCCCCTATCTGGTCAGCTTTGTACCAGCGGTTCCCTCCTAGGTCCTCTGCTCTCCCTGGACATCTGGGCAATGGAGATAAGTTGAGAAAAAAAATTGAAAAAGCTTGTTATTCGATTCTAGTGATCTCTAAGATTACCGGGGGCCCCAAATCCTTGCCTTCACGCCCCCTCCAACCAGGGAAAGGGTGGACACGAGTATTTGGGGGCTCCCTCCGCTAATATTAGACTCAAAAGAAAGGACTCGGGCGTCCTGGACAGCTAGGGCTTAGGGGAAGAAAAATAAGAAGCACACCACCCCTTCTGGGAGAAATAGGGTGGGGAACTCGTCACTGTCTTCATGCCCCTATGATTTGTGGCCACTTCCAGGCCAAAGATACACAAAGTCTGCTTCTCCCCCACCTCCTGGCTCTGTTCATACTTTCCCCAACGCTCCTAGATGTCTAACCATGGACAGAGAGTTGGAAGTTGCAGGCCCACCCCCCAGCCCCATCCCTTCCCCGTTACCTCCTGGGGCAGCAGGGGCAGGGCATGCCCAGCCTGGGTGGCTGTGGGGGTGGCAGGCTCCTGAAAGTCGTCTTCAGCGTCCGAGCTGGACATGGCATCATCCGGGCGACGGCTGGCTGGCTCCCGCCCTGTGACTACCACCATCCCTCTGGCTCTGGGCAGCAGGGGGGGAGGTGAGGTTGGGGAGGGGGAAGGGCTGGCTAAGGTGGGGTGAGGGTGGGGGAGTGAGTGGGGAGGGTTGGGGTTAGGGGACAGAACTAGAGCAGGGAGCAGCCGGGCATGATGGGGGGAGGGAGGGGCGTGCCTCGGCAGCCTGAGATGCGAGATGAAGGGGCAGCCAGATGTGCGGCGGGGGAGGGGCAGCCAGCTGTGGCTGAGGATAAAGGGGGTGGGGACCCGGGATCCTGCCCTCGCGCCCTCCCTCTAGGGCTCTCCCTCCCCGAGGCAGCGCCAGGACTGAGGCAGGACCACACTGCCTCTCCTCCCTCCCTGCCTGCCCAGGGCCAGCCGAGCCTCCTCTTCCCATTGGCCCAGCGCCCCAGCTGGCCCACTCCCTGATTGGCAGAGACCTTGCCCAGTCCCGGGCCGGACGGAGAGTCCAGCCAGGGCGTTGAGTGGCTGCCAGGCTGCCGGGCCGCCTCCCCTGCTAGCGTCTGATTGGCTCTCTGGCTGGCACGCTCCTTCTCCCGACCCTCTGCGTCTCTCCTGGAGCGAGGACATCAGCCCACTGGGCAGAAGTGGGGGGGTGCCCCCTCCGCCGGGGGACCTGCCGCCTCCGCTGGGCCGACCGGGCCCTTCCTGGCTGGCCCAAGGCTGCCCCTCCCTTCTGGCGGGGAGAGGAAAGGAGGCGGGCCCTCCCGTAACCACGGCAACGGGATCCGTGCCGCATCTGTCTGTCCTCCAGTTCCTCTCTTCCCCTAAGAACAGGGAGGACGTATGTCTCTGATGACCGTGGCCTTGGCCTTGACCTCTACATCCCCTGGGAGGGAGGAGGGCCGGTAGGCGGATATCTGAGCAGTCAGGAAGGGCAGGGGTGGGATCCTAGCTGGGCAGCTCACTATCTGCGTGACCTTGAGGGATTGACACCCCCCCCCCTCTGGGTCTCAGTGCCCTCAAAAATGAGGAGTTTGGATCAGAGCGTGTCAGACCACCGAAGTCCCTTCCAGCTTCACCACTCGCAGCTCCGTGAAGGTCTCCATCGTTTCAGGACGACGTGGTGTGAACAAAGAAGCCGTGACATGTTGTGGCTCTGGAGTCAGGGCACCTGAGTTCAAATTCTTACTACCTACCTCCCAGTACTTTCTACCTGTGTGACTTGGCTGAATCACTCAGCCTCCTTGCGAATGCAAAATGAGGGGCTGAGCCTTGATGGATCCTAAGGTCCCTCCCAGCTCTAAAGCTGAATTCTAAGAACTATAGGACAGGAAATTATGCCGTATACACTTCTAAAGGAGGATGTCCTTCAATCCTAATAACGGTTTTTGCATTTTATTGCCGCCCTTTGTTTTCCTATCACTGTATTTCCCAGTGTATCCCTCCCTTCAGAAAACCGTTCCTTATAATAAAGGATAAAAACAGAGGGCAGGAAAATCAGTCCAGCAAAACTAACCAATTCATCAAACAAATGCAAATTGATATTCCTGTTCCACACCCCAGTAAATAAAGGAGGAGGCCCCCTTCTCCTATCTCTTCTTGGGGAGGGCTTCCTCATAATTTCTCGACCTTCAGTTTTGTTTCTTTTCTCCTTGCTCTTTCCATTTATATTGCTGTAGTCATTGTGTAGATTGGGGGTGACTGGCTGGGACTCATTGTGTACTTTGTTCTTCCGTTTCTGCTAATTTCATTCTTCATCTGTTCCTATAAACCTTCCCATGATTCTCTGAATTTATAATATTTATTATTTCTTCTAGTACAGTAATATTTCCATTTATTCTGCTTTCCATTATGTCATAAGGATCTTCATCCGCCATTCAAAAGGCTCCTACTTTATTTCCAATTCTGTTTTTACCTTAAAGAATGTTAATAAATATGTTGGTGTATATGTGGTTTTTTTTTTTCTGAAACCATCCCCTTCACCATTTCTTATAGCACAACAGTATTCCAGAATGTTAGAGATTTAAGGTATGTCCACAATGTCCCTATGAATGGCTGAGGGAGAGTGGAGATGAAGGTTGTCAATGAACAGGAAGTGAGAAAGATAAAGGTCTTTGTAGGCCCTATACACTTGTATAGAGGCCCTCTCAGTTGTGAGCTCTATATGTCCCATGATATTCAAAGAGTAATGTGGCATCTTAATCCACAAATCATGAGCCTCCCTGATATTTCTATGTTTTCACACTAAGTCAAAGGACACATTAGTTGAAATCAAAAGACATTTAGCAACAATAGCAGAAAATTGGAAGAAAAATCACTAATTGAGACATGCCTAAAGGGGCACACTGTCCCACTTTTCTACTGGGAGGAGTAAAAATATGCATAATAAGGAAATTTGTGGCCAGGAACACATATGGAGGAGAACAAATATAATAAACATTCCTAGTTAGGACCACAAACGCCCATCAGACTGCATCCCAGCTGGAGCCTCTTTCTGCTTCTCAAACCAGCTTTTGCTGCTTCCCCGGAGAGTTGCTGATGTCATCTGCTGGGCTACTTTTTCTGTCAAGCTCTGAGCTGCTAGCGTTATCTGCCGGACTATTTTTTTAAAAATCTTTTTTTTTTATATCTTTTGTTTCTTCATCAGCTTAATTTCTAAAAATATCCCCCACCTCCTTGTCTATAAGCTCTGCCTTTAATGAAGGTTTTTAAAAGAGATGAGGAAAGCACTTTCTGCTGAGTGAGTTTTCTTTGCTCAGCTGCCATCTTCTGGTTCTGCTGGATTACAGCTACTATGTAGTCTCTTGGTCGTCACCACCCTTTTTGTGCGTCTGGCCCATGGCATCATGGTTATTTCAGTTCTTTGGTGAGTCAGACCCAAAGCTAGCACCCAGCCAGTCAGCAAAATGTCCTTAGGCCAAAAATATCTTTTGAGCTACATCATTTCCTCCTAGATGCTCCCACCTCAAGTATGCTTGCTATTTGGGTTGAGGCGAGGAAATTCCTTTCAACTCCTCCATTTCTTTCAACCCAGCTAGCATTGGATTCATGCAAATTATCCTAGAACTTCATTTCACAGACTAATGGGGCAGGGTGGATCAAGTGACTTTTGTCCTATGTTTCTAATAGAACCAAAATTGCTGCTTTCCACACATACAGAAACATATACATGCCTGCCTGCATGCATACATACAATCCAAATATATGTATATGAATATACACATACACACATAAATACATACATACATGCATACACACGCATATGTATATATGTATATATACAAGGTATCCCAAACTCTTAGGGCAGTTTTAAGCTATTAAAAATCAAAATTACACTAAGAATTTTGGAACATCCTGTAAATATAAGATTTTTGTCAGTCTTTATTATACCAATTTTTAAAGTAGTTAAAAATTTCTTCATAGGCTCTAGACAGTGCCAATTGAAATAAATGGGCCCTGGTCATGGAATATAAGAAGATTGTGGACTTCAGTGTCCAGGCTGTTAGAAGGGTCACCCACAAGTATAATGATTTCCCTAAGGATGATGTAGAGGATGGAATGGAGAGGAAATTGTAAACCAAGATTATTGGTTTATCAAATTATTGAGGATGGTAGGAGTATATTCAGGAGGTCAGTAGATTATGGTGACTAGGACTGGGAGAGGGTAGTATAATTGAGTGGTATGAACCACCGAGGTCATTGTGTGATGGCAGCATAATTGTCTGGAAGTGGCTGTGGGGAGAAGGAGCCCTTTGAGTCTGGTGATATGAGAGAAGAGGTCCAGCCACTAGTCAGGGTGATGATGGATTTGTCATCCTCAGAGGAAAGCCAGATTTCAGGCATTTCCAGCAGGTGGAATGAGTATAAGAGATCAAGGATGAAGAACATTTTATTTACAAAAGAGCAAGGAAAGGAACAAGGGTTTTGTGATTTTTTTTTTTACATCATGATCCCCTTTGCAATCTGGTGAAGCCTATGGCTCCATTCTCAGAATATGTCTAAGTCCATAAAATAAAATATATCAGATTATGAAGGAAGTCAGTAATATTGAATACAATTATAAGGAAATATTAAAAAAAAAACAGGTTTATAGACCCCAGGTTAAGAACCTCTGGTGTGGCGAAAAGAGACTAGACTGAAAATTAAGAGAAATCTAGATTCAAATTCTGCTGCTGATGTTTACTTCTGGTGGGACCACAGTCAAGTTATTTTAACTTCTGAGTCTCAGATTCTTCATCTGCAAAATGTGAGTAATAATACCCATATCAGCTACTTCACAGGGGGGCTGTCAGGCTCAAATGGGGTAGCATGTGTAAAGGACTTTAAAATGCCAAGAAAAAGTCAGATGTCTAGCCAGTAGAGCAGAGATTCAGAAGGTCACAGTAGAAGTGGTCAAGACAGAGGACTATGAAACCTAAGGGAGCGGCGCTGATTGATTCATCATCCTCTGCTTTCCTCTACTCCTTACTTAGGTCTCAAGGAGAGAAACAAGGCTACCCTAGCAGGAGTACCTGAACCAACCCACTCATAGTCATAGGTGGTAGAGTGAAAAGAGCTCTGAACTTGGGTCGCTGAGCCAGAATCCAGGTTCTATTACTTACTACCAAGATTACCCTGGGCAGGTCACTTCCACCTCTCTGGGCCTCAGTTTCCTCATCTGTAAAATGAGGGAGGTGGGTGGTTAGATCATATGATCCCTGAGGTCTCTTCCAGCTCTACATCTATGAATCTACAATGGGAAATGACTAGCCCTGCCCTGAGGAGCCTGGGAGATTGCCAGGAAGGGAGCAAGGGACCAGACTGGAGAAGAGCAAAGTCAGAGTCAAACAGCAGATGCTTGTGCCAGGAAGAGAAAACTGGAGGCAAGAGTGTCTGAGGGGTGAGGGGCAGGAAAGTGTCTCAGAGTGGGTCAGATCCAGTGTCAGCCTAGAGCCAGGGCAGGCAGCAATAGATAGATGGCCTTTGCCTATGGGAACTAGGGGCCCCATTATGATCCATCTCTTAAAGTTGGGGTTCTTAATCTGGGGTCTATGAGCCTATGTGTGTGTGTGTGTGTGTGTGTGTATGTGTATATATAATTAAATATAAATATGTAAAACATAAGTAAATAATATGATGTAATAGAAATAAAATATAATATACAATTGCTATATTAATATATAATATTAATATTACATATATATTTTGATAACTATTTCAGTAGAATCCTGTATTTTATTTGATGCATTTACAAACAGTCTTCTGAGAAGGGGTCCATAGCCTTCACCAGACTGCCAAAAGGGCCTATGAAAAAAAAAAAGGTTAAGAAACCTTGGCTTAAATGATTGTATGTGAACAAAAGAATGCATCTTTCTTTCTCTTACAAGACGTACTACAGCTTACACATCTAGGATTCTCTCTTGCAAATGTCCTTAGGCTTAGAGCACAAATAGATCCAGGAATAAGAAAACAAATACAGAACAAATCAGTTAAAACTAGCCAGTGTTTAACAAATGCTCAACTATGTAGCAAGCACTATGTTAGGTGCTGGGGATACAAAGACAAAGACAAAATTGTCCCTGCCTCAAGGAGCTTTCTCACTCACACACTAGTCAGAAAAGGGGAGGAGCTGGTTTCCTGGGGTCTGCTTTGGGGGCACAGGAAAGGGGTGGTGCTAAGTAGATTGCTGAGCACACCCGAAGACAGATGAACACTCCGGGAGTGAACATGACCACCCAGGTCATGGTGTATAGTTGGAAGGAAACTCACAAGGCGTGTGACCCAACACATTCACGTTACAAATGAGAATACTGACACTCAGAGAAGTTAAGTGTCTTATGTAGAGTCACACAGCTAGTAAATGCCTGAAGAAAGAGTTGAACCCAGATCTTCCTGACTCCAGGGCCAGGACTCTATCTATCGCCGTACGCTGTCTCTAAAGCGGCTAGACAGATAGGGAAGGGGAAGGGAGGCTCTCTGGGCCTGGGCTTGTCCTAAGATGAGTCTAGGGATAATGACAACAATAAGAATGATTATTATTATTATTATTATTATTATAATTCTAGGAAGATGATGACAGTATGTCTTCCAGACTTCTGAGACTCTTGATTTCATCAGTGTTGATCTCTTTCCAGAGGTTCTGATCATAACCCCAATTTGACAAACATGAGTTACTGTAACTGAACCAATTCCTCAGCTTGGCCAACTTCTCAGTGAGTAGCCTCTTTGAACTCAGCTAGGTTTGGACCAGGACTAGTTGGCCAGTCAGTTGCCATCCCCTCCCACCCTCCTTCTCTCTTCCAAACACATGCGCTCATAGCCTTTCCAGCTTGGCGTAGGACCTGCCAAAGCTTGTGCTCTGAAAGCCTTCAAGGACCCAGGGTCACCTCTATACAACACCATCTCAACTGGTCCACGATCCTAGGTTCTAAGGAGCTCGGGGGTGGGTGTCACCACACTTGAAGCGCGGTGTAATGGGAAAAGATCAGTGGCTCTGGACCCAGAGGACCCGGGCTAAAGCCTATCAGGTGACCTTGGGCATCCTTTCCCTAGGCTTCAGTTCCTTTCTCTGTAAAAGGAGGAGGTTGCACCAGATGGCATCTGAGGCCCCTGGCAGTTCTATGATCTTATAGGTATGAGAGTAATCATGATGGTAACCATCATTTATCTGGCACTTTAAGGTTTCTGTGGGCAGCTAGGCGGCACCATAGTGCATAGAGCACCAGACCTGAAGTCAGGAGGACCTGAGTTCAAAACCAGCCTCTGACACTTACTAGTCGGGAGACCCTAGGCAAGTCACTTAATCCTGTTTGTCTCACTTTCGCCATCTGTCAAATGAGGTGGAGAAGGAAATGGCAAACCACTCCCGTATCTCTGCCAAGAAAACCCCAAGTGGATCACAA